GGGGGGGGGGAGTGCGACACGGACACACGGACACACACACGCTCTAACCACTAAGCCAAACCAGCTAGGGTGGAATTCAATTTTTAAACTCAAAACTATATGGCTCCACTTTATATATGCATTTCTTTGGCAATTCAATCCATTTGGAATTTATCCTGATGTATGGCATGAAGGGGTCTAATTTTATCTTTCTTCATGACTACCCATTAGTCCTGACACCACTCATGTAAACTGTATCCTTCCTCCCATCTTTACCAGATTACATTTCCATATTTTGTTTCTAGATTTTCTATCTTGTTCATTAATTTAAATACTCTTATACTAGGTACTATACTTTTAATTACAATGTTTATGTTTTAACAGCTGGTAGGGCAAGCTATTTTTTTTTTTTTGGAAGCTAACTTCTTACTATTAGGATCTAATTTAAGTGCATGTGGTTAAAATAACTTTGTCTGTAATACTGATTCTTGAAATCTGTGACTTGACACGTGGCCAGTCCTTACTTTTGTATTAGGCTAAGGCCAGTCAGCTCTACTCATGGTTTTAACCACTGTGCCTGTTTCTACCTCCGTCTTTGCTCTTAACTCTGAGCTCCTGATATCCTTAGGAGCTGAAAGGTCCCTAAGCCTGGCGCCCTTGCTCACCGCTTTGTGTGGTTTTATTTTCTGACCCAGAGAGACTGTGACCCTAGTTATGTCTNAGGCCCCTGGACCTGCCCTTGCTCACCGCTTTGTGTGGTTTTATTTTCTGACCCAGAGAGACTGTGACCCTAGTTATGTCTTTTTGGTTATCTCTCACAAATATTTTGTCTGTCAGAGCAAAGAAGGGATGTTGAAAAGCGACTCACTGCTCCATATTGTTCAAAGCCATATTAAGTCTTTTATATGGAAAAAAGATCAGACTTATTTATGAAATGCATTTACAAAGAACCAATGGCTAAAACTTTCCTAATTATGGTTTATAGTGTAGTATTTTATAGGGGAATGCATAGGAAAAAAAGCCAAAAAGATTTGAGAGCTAACATTTGCCAGGCACCAATCAATAGCCTCATTTAATACAATGGCTTGTCACCAATGTTGGATGCACAACTGAGAGGCATCATAGTATGATTCAAAAAACACAGCTATAAAGTCAAACAAACCACAACTAGAGTTGAGCACAACAGTTCAGTAATTCATTTAATTCTCGGTTTCCTCAACTACAGGGGTGGGCAAAAAAAGTAGATTTACAGTTGTAAGTATGTGAAGCACAGTTTATTCTTATATTATTATTCATTAATTACTGTATTATTTTCCATATGAACAACTGTAAACCTACTTCCCAGCCTGTGAAGCTGGGGATATTAACATCTCCCTTTTGGAGTCATGGTGGGGATTAATAATATATGTAAG